AATTTCAACTTATTAGTATTGTTAAAAACAGCATTGTCAATTGATCATTAGAATCGCTGGTGCACGAATACTTTTTCTTTTTACTGTATATATCGGATCGGTTCCCGGCCGGAATGATCGCCACTTCTTCTCACGTTTATGTGCTTTATTGCGACCGAGGGCCGAGGGAGTTAATGCGGTCGCAATTTACCCCACGTGGCGCATTTGTCAGGGTTACCACGTGGCACCGTGGTTGGTTTTTTGGGAAAATTGCACTGCGGTGACTTCATACGAGCAGCGAGCGTAGTTTCTTGTAAGTGGCGGCCATACAGGGTGTCCCAAAATAGCTTTGACTCCCGGAAACGAGGGGTTCCTGGCAGGATTTGAAACGACTTTTTCCTTAGCGAAAATGTTATCCGAGGCTTTGTTAACGAGACATTAACGAAAAACCCCGACCAATCAGAGCGCAAGTCTGCCTGCCGAGCTCCAGCGGTTGCTTTGGATACGCGCTGCGATTGGTAGCCAACGCAACCGCGGGAGTTCGGCAGGCAGACTCGCGCTGTGATTGGTCGGGGTTTTTCGTTAATATCTCGTTAACAAAGCCTCGGATAATATTTTTGCTAAGGAAAAAGTTATTTCAATCCATCTCAGGAACCCCTCACTTCCACGAGTCGAAGCTATTTTGGGGTACCCTGTATACAGGGTCTGATCGAACAGTTCGGGTCTTTATGTATAAATCATTTATTATCAATCTTAACAATAATTCTATGGGATCACCTGCAAGTAATCTCCTTCTGCCCTTGTGTATCTTTGAAATATTCTTTTCCAGTTTTCAGTCTAGCTCCACTTGCGATTTCTTAATTGTTGTCCGAGGAAAAAAGATATCAATTTCTTGAAATTAACTGTAATTGGGGACGACATATGGGTGTATGGTTATAAAATGGACACGAAGAAGTAATTGAGCCTGTGGGTGAAGAACGGTGAGCCACGTCTGAAGAAAACACGCAAGCGTTGCTCAGATGCGTAAGTGGTACCCATAAACCCATGTTTCATCCCTAGTTATGATTAATTTTATGAAATTTCCATCTCCTTTCGTAGCCTCAAAATAGGTACCAAATGGACGATGTTGCGCCACGCGAGAGACAATAAGTAAGAAATTGTAGGAGGGGCTAGACTCGATTTCAGCGTCCGTTTACCGCAACGCTTTCGAAAATTACAACAAATGATTTCAAAAGGTATATAAGAACATAAGGAGATTATCTTCATGACGATTTTATGGAATTATTGTTGAGATTGATAATAAATGATTTATATATGAAGACCCCAAACTTTTTGATCAGACCGTGAACTTACATGCAGGTTGTATTTTAATTTTTGTATATTTTTCTGGAAAATTTGCATAAATATCGAAACCATATTTTGATAAAATTTGAATATTGCTTTATTAACTAACAGGAAACTATTTGTATTTTTTGTTCCGAGAATTCAACAAATTTGTGAACATTCTGTGTTGAGCAACAGCTTTTGAGGCGGATAATCACTTATGTACATGTGTTTTACTTCAAAAAAGTTCAGCCACCACACTATTAATATGTTATAACTGTAATTTAAAACTAGCTAGAAAAATAAATAAATTTTTCACATGTATGTAAGTAATTGCCCACCCCAAAAGCTGTTACTTAGCATAGAATATATAAAACAAGATTCAAATTTTATGAAATTATAGTTCGGAAGTTTTGTAACCTTCCCAGGAAAATAATATGCCATTTGAAAATTAAAATACAACCTGTACGTAAGTATATGACCGCCATTGTAGCTTGAAACACCATGAGACGGTTTGTCTTATTTCATTCCTGGGGTACCTCGATCGATTCTCTGA